TGCCTCTGGGTCTCAAACCAGACGGAGGCAATTGGACTTTCCTGAGGAGCCTTGGTCTCATGTGGCTCTCTCAATTCTGCAGCAGCAAGCTGCAGGTTAGCAAACCAGGGGCGGAGGAAACGAACCCGCAACGCCACATGTGTGAGAGGACGTGTTGCTTTCCAGAGCCCCGACGGGGTGTGTGCTGTGCTTGGCAGCAGCAACCACGGGAGCTGATGATGGCATTTGGGCTAATTACACCTGATACATCTAATAGGTGTGGGCTCATTATGGTGGTGCATCCTTGAATACAGAACCACCAACAGCTGCAGGTGGACCACCGGTGTGCATGTAGAGGGGAGGACTGAAGGAGGAGAGGTTCACGGGAGCCTCCCTTCTTGCCTCTTGGTTTTTGAGTCTCCTAGAAAATTCCACTAAGAATAGACACTACTATTGCATTCATGGGGAAACAGCCCAGTCTCATAAGGAGACCAGTCTCTCCCACATGTGGATTCTTTCCAAGCCAGAGAGTCTCTGCAACAGCCTCATGAGCAGAACTCAGGTCTCCCAGATTCATTTCTTTGTGGAAAATACAGATTCTCAGACCTTCCCAGAAGGGCATGATTGGTCACATCTGGAGTGGCGCCAAGCACTAGTCTCACGGTCAGCCACATTAGGGAAACACCTGCAGGTAGCAGCCTAATTACTACCTGAGCTTTCCAGACAAAGAAAAGGAAACTCCTCCGAGAGGTCAGGTGACTTGACAAAAGGACACACAATTCCCCCAGAGCAGCCTCCAAGATCAGCTCTTCTGTTCCCCAGGCCCATCCTCTTGGCCGGCTCCTCCCCAGAGGGCTCAGCCTGCCCCCACCAAAGTTTGCAAGGGTTTCCTTTCCTCTGGGATCCGATGGGCCTTTGCACCTCACCGTTGGAGCTGAGTTTTAGTCTAGGCCTGCAGGGACCTCGAGCACCCATCCCGCCATGACTCACCTGCAGAGGAATGAAGGCGCTGACTCCCAAGGTGCTCAGAGAGCTGCCCAGGGTTTTGACCTCGGTCCTTAGAGGACAGGCCCACTACAAATCCAACAGGCCTCCGTCCAGCTTCCCACAGGGAGACAGTCATGACCACAGGGCCAGCAGGAGCGAGGACCCAGGTCTGGGTAGAGCTCTCTCCTCTCCGGTTCCCTGCCAAGTCCCTGCCTTTCCACCATCAGACGGAGACAAAGTGAGCTTTCATGGTGGTACTGCCCATTCACTGGGAGAAACAAGGACCCCCCACCCATTTCCTGTGGGGCCTGGGACCCTCATAGATGGCATTGGCTTCTGGTCTCCATGAACAGAAGTTGAATTTGGCCAGCAACCTTAAGGCGGACGTTTCTCGGTGAGTGACCAGCCTCCTGTGCCATCCTAGGCGGTGTCTGCACACCTGGCCTCTTCTCAGTCCCTGGCCTCCCCACCCTAACTGCCCCCTCTGGCCTCCCCACTCAAAGGCATCTTCTGCAAGAAGCTTCTCTGGCTGCCTGGCTGCCTGGCTGGGCGGACACCTGAAAGATCAAGTTTACCAGCGTGTGCACCTTTGGTATTTAAACATGAGTGATGCTGATTTTTATTAAATTTTATTCTTCTAATGTTTAGTTAAAATTATTTACTTTTGTGAAAAAATAACAGACACAATAAGCAACATGAAAATAAGTTCAACGCTGACTCTCAGAAACCGCCCCTGCCAACACAGTGGCCCCAGAGTGCCTTCTGTACAATTGTTCATTTCTCATATCTATAAAAACCAGATCGTCCTATCCATACTGTTTTGAAGCTTTTTAAAGAACATACATCACACCTGCTCTCCTGTAAGTATCCGTCAATGGTATCATTTTTAATGTTTTAAAAGTGTGAAGATGTTTCGTTATTTACTTAATAAATCTCCTAATGGACACTAAAGATGTTTTTGATTTTTTCACTGCTATAAATAGTGTTCCAAAGAACAGCCTTGAGCAAATTCAATTATTTTCTAAGTATGTATTGCTCAAAGTAGAACTGAGGAGTTAAAGGGCACACGTATTTTTAAGGCTGGTACCATCGGGGCCCTCTTCTCTCACCATCTACCCTCCTACCGTGGGGCATTAAAATCTCCACCTTTTTCTAAATTTGCCAACGTGGATATTTTTTCATTTGTTTAAGAAATAGCTTTGTTAACTCGATAAAGAAAAATTTGTGGTACTCTTAAGAGTTGCCTTAATTTGCATTTGTTAGATTATTAATGCGGTTGGACTTTTAAAAATGTTTATTGCTTCATTGGACTCCTGAAATAACATATATAGCAACTGATGCCACTTGCTAGCTTTCTGTGTGGGTATTTGCTTTTTTCCTTCTTAATTTGCAAGAAATACAGCGTTCACCTCTTTATCACAATGCGTAACATGGCAGTAGATAAGAACAGGCGTAAAAGAAATTTTGACTGACTGAACAAATGAATGAATCTTTTTATGTGTGACACAATATATCCTACAGAGTAGACACATTCCCAGTTCTTTCTATCCTTTTGACTTCATGCCTGGCTACTTTCACATGAGAAATTTTCTTTTTATGTAACCCCATCTTTTCTGCATGGTATCTTTGGGGTCAAGACGGGCAAGGCTCAACGTGATAATGATGTTGTGGATTATAATCTTTTGAAATATCTGTATTTTTAATTGAACTATTTCATTTGAGTACATTTTAGTTTGTCATGTGAAATTAGAAATCTTTTTCTTTCACATGTTCGTTAAACATTATTTTCCACATGGACCCAAGATGGCTCCTCACGATGCTGATATTTCGGTATTTATCCACTCAACACGTGCAAAAACAGTTTGTTTTCAAATTTTCTCTTCTGTGGCGTGACATTTCTGTTTCTGCAGAGCCCCATATTCTTTTAATTATTGAACCTTAAAATAGGTTTGAATGTCCAGTAGGGCAAGGCTCTCTCATTTTTCATAATCAAGTGTTCTATTTTAACACCTTTCCAGGTGAACTTTGTAAAGTCTCCCCAAACGTTCTGTTGGTATTTTGATTGGCATTGTGTTGGATTCGTTCATTAATCGACATCTTTACAATATTAAATCTTCCCACCTCTCCGCCAGCTGGAAGTATTCTGTCCTTCCTCTGAACTCCCTTAGCACTTTCTACCTTTAAAAAAAAATCACTTTCTAAACTATACCCACCCAATTTTTCAACCCTGAAACCTGAGCGTCGCCCCCTTCCCTCCCCTCCCCAACTTTCACCCCATCCCATCCATCATCCCCATCAGTGCAACCGCCTCAATTCCACCCACTTCTGCCTGTCCCCACCATCAGCACGCTGGCTCAAGCCACCATCATTTCTGGTCTGAGCCAACACGCTGGCCTCCAACTGACCTCTCTGCATCCACATTGGCTTTTGAGCCATTCTCAGCACTGTGGCCACAACAACCTCTGCAAGGGCAAATCTGATCGCAGCAATATTCCCACGGCTGCCCGTGGCACTTAGGGAAGAGCTGAGAAAAGGGCTTGGATGCATTGTGGCCCCCGTTCTCCCTTCTGGCTTGTACCCAACTTCTCTCTAAGTCCTTCTTTTTGCCTTGATCACAGTGGTCATCAAAAATATGGTACACTCTTTCCTACCCCGGGGCCTTTGCACATGCTGTTCCTCTGTCTTCATTTTTCTGAGTTCTCCCCAACACCTCAGTTTAAGACTTGATTCCCTCAGTACATACTCCTAGAATCCTGTACAGGTCATGTTTTAATACTCATCACCATTTCAATTCCTTGTTTAAGTTTCCATGAAAATACCAAGGACAACAATAAAGGCACTTCTGATAATAAACATTTTTTGAATAGTAATCTATGGCTCCCTCAACCCCCTCTGTATCCTGAGTGTTTATGTGAACAGATGTGCTAGACCTGGCTACCAGCTCTAAGAGAAGGTGGTTCAATTTTCAGAAACTTTGTGAGCAGGCCAATGTCACACAATAGTTTGAATTCAGTAAATGCTACAAAACAAAACTTTTGAACCCCTCTTTGTTCCTGTTAAGCCTTTACCATCCTGCCACCATTTCCATGCACGGTGTCAATCAGTCTTCTCCTTAGCTTGGGGAAGTAGGTGGTCTGCTTTATAAGATGGGGAAAAGAATCATTTAGAAGGCAAGTGACGCTATGAGTCCGGGCCCCTAACCAGGGGGCGAGAGCAGCCCAAGGTCTAGGAAGGCAGGACCCTGCAGGTCTTTGCTTTAACCCTGGCCTTGCAACCTCGGGGGGGTTCCCGTTAGAAGCCCTTCCTTCGGGCCTTTCCCACCTCGCCCACCATGGCTCCTGTACTATCTGCACCAAGCGTGTTCCCACTTCCCAGTCTGTGATCCTGGAAGGGAAGTGACTTGCAGATCCGGGGACTACCAGGTCAGGTTCCAGTGAACACCAGTGAATCCAACAGAGAACAGCCGGCAGAGCTGCCGGGGGCGGGGTGGGAGTCTAGGGGAGGGGGCTGGAGAGGGCAGAGAGGAAAGGAGGGAGGGCATGGGTTTCCACGGTGGGCCCAGTCCTGGGATTCAGAGGCTCCCACCTGTCCTACCCAAGGCCCTCCTTCCTTCCCTCTGAAATCACGTGATTTATTTTCTTTCCATCTGTCTCTCCGTCTAGAAGGTAAGATGGGGCACTAGACTTCACTATGATTTCCCAGGATAAGTGTGCAATACAAACCACCCTGAAGGAGTGGAGGAAAGGTGTCCCTTTGGGAGGCAGGACAGTAACTTTTCAAATTGCAAACACAATAGAAGAGATGAGCAAGGTGTTCATTTCCAAAACAACCCGCCATGACCACCCTAGACCAGGCCGAAGTTGCTGAAGTAAAATACACATTTAGAATTGAGTCCACACTTTCCCCATTCAGTGTCAGAGCCCTCTTCCCACACCACTGGAAAGACCTAGAAAAAACCAAAATGGTTTCAGAGAGAGATGCCGGGCACCAGAGCCAAGGGGAGCTGGAGGCCAGTCTCCCCGCTCGTCACCTACCTGTGTAAATGAACCTTCCCGGGGCTCCTTTGCAGAACTGTTTGGATTTATAAGATAATGTCACTTCCACTACTCCGGGGATGTGCCGGGGAGGAGTCTGCACTCGGATGGCATGAGGGGTTATGAGCTGAGGAAGGAACGGGAAGGGACATGAGAGAGCCATTAGACAAGCCATCGCCAAGGGAACCCCCGCGGTCCCCCTTACTGATCCGGCCATCGCTTCTTTTTTGCTGTGTGTTCTCTTGTTTTTCTGGCTAGAACACCAGCCATACCCAACTGAGAAAATTGGGGAATTACAGAAATAAAGGAAAAAAGAAAGAAAGAAAGAAAAATAGCATTGCATAACCCAGAGACATCCAGCAGTAACATCTGGTGTGTTTCCAGTACATTTCTGGACGTGAGTCACAGAATTAGATTATGCCTATGCAGAGGCCCATTGTCCTGATTTTTCTCCCAACGAGCATTATGGCAGGTGCATATCTCTGCTCCTAGGTCAGCAGAAGTTTTTTCAGACCATGATTTTCAATGGTGGAAAAATATTTTATTATTACTATCATTATTTCTACCATGCTCCTTTAATCCAGTATGTAGCCTCTTTCTAATTTTTCGCAATTTTACCCAATACTGCAATGGGTGTTTGCCATTTTAACAATGTCCCTGCAACGAGCATGACTTCAGGCCTTTTTATCCCTCATGCCCTGCTCATTCTGTTTCCCCAGATAAAAACTACCTTTGGGGGCTGGGGTGGTGGCTCAGTGGTAGAGCGCTTTCCCAGCATGTGTGAGGCACTGGGTTCGATCCTCAGCACTATGCAAAAAATAAAATAAAATAAAGGTATGTATCCATCTACAACTAAAATAAATATATATATATTTTTTAAACAAACCTTTGGGCCAAAGGAGGGGAGAGAAGCTGACTGCCTACCTCGCTCCACACAAGCATGGTGCCGAACACCACTTGGAGACCATCGAAGAAGTTGTCGCCAATGATGATGACCATGGCCCCTCCTGTGGTCCAGCCTTCACTTGGGCTGATGGCTTTGATGCAGGGGGTCGCTGAGAGGATAGGAAAGAAAAAGTCAGCCCTATCCTCCGTGGTGGGAGTCGGGAGCTTTGGGAATGGCTGTCCCGGGAAGCTGTTGGCCATTCCATGAAGTTCAAGTTGAGCTTTCTTGACCTGCCGTCCTCCTCTAATTGGTTGTTGGTTGGCACCAGGTCATTAAAGCCTAATGAGCTGACCATTATGTATGAAAAAGCGAAACACTTAGCTAATTGTGCAAAGGGTGTTTTGAAAACTCTGTTGTTTTTGCCCATATTTTTATAAGCTGATCACACTAGAAAAGTGTAAATCCCTTTTCTCTCCCCACCTCCTCTGCCCCACGATGTTAAAATTTACAAGGCCCATTAATGCGCTGGGCGGAGAAGGAGAAAGCAAGCTCTATCATAGCTGAAGGGTTTTTTTTTTTTTTTTTTTTCAACTCAAGAGACAATTTCTAATCAGTCTCCTAACTTGTGGGAAGGATTTTCCTCCCTTTGTCCATATGTCTGAGGTCCCTGGACTGCACATCCCAACAGGAACCCAATATGGTTTTCAGGCCATAACTAAAGTCAATCCATCACTCCATTGCCAAAGTTGACAGGGTCAAAGGTGGAGGAGAACTTTGGCAGGACTCCAAAAACATGAGCCCCCTTTGAACAGCCAGTCAATCACATCCAATCAGTCAAAAGAAACTCGAGGGGCTCCCAGCTCTGAACTCTGGGGTTTTCTTCTCTCCTTTCAGTGCTCACTGTGGGAGCATTAACACCACTCCAAATTCTTTACTGATTCAATCATTTTCTTTCAGTTCATTAATTCCTATTTAAAATGATACAAGATACATTTTAAGGGCCGGGTTGGGGGTGGGGACCGGTGGGCAGAGTCTAGCAAAACATCACATTCTAATAGTAGCCTAATTTGGTTACTCGTTCTAGATTACAAGGTCTCCCCACACCACGAGCCGGGGAGTCCAGAAGGAAGGGGAACGAGCGAGATGGAATCTACTTAGGTTTGTCAGTTGCGTTCATCGATACACTTTAATTTTTTGGACAAGTTGAAGTTTAACAGTGACCAGTATTTCTAATTACTTTAATGCACTTGGAAAACTACCCAGAGCAGCCCACGATTTCTTCTTGTCCAAGCAAACAAAAATCAATTAGTGTCAGTTTCATTCTGCACATTGTTTTGTTTTGCTCACAATCTGTTTAAGGGCACATCTGACACTTATTCATACACGTCTGGCACTGTAATGTTCCTGTTTAACTAAGATGTCATAGGCCTACATTTGCCTGAAATGCCCGTCTAGCAAAAAGAAAACAGAGCAGAATGGAAGAGGCCGGGGGCATCTGGGGGGCCCGGCCCCGCCCGGAGCAGGCTGTGTTTACAGCTTCCCTTACAAACCCGCACGGCTCAGTGGACTTTCCCCACTCTAACTCCCACATGTAAATTGGAAATTCAAACCAGAAAATCTGTGGAGGACTTTGCTCGTCTGCCGTGCTCAGCCGACAGCCCTACCCACCTTCGGATGGGTCAAGCCTCCTGGCCCTCCGTCCGTGCTTGGAGTTGTTGTGCACGAACATGTTGTCGGAAACGGCCAGCACGTGTCCGTCCACGTTCACCGTGGTCGACAGCACCACCTGCAGGGTCAGCATCAAGGGTGGGTGAGTTTGGCGTCAAATCACACGCGCTTCAGAGTTCTATTTGGGCACACTTCCTTGTGACACAGGGGACAGGGTAGGACTCAGGGATGGACATATTCTTCCCAATTCAACAGGTGCTCCGCTTCCCATGATTTAGAAGAAGCTGATGGAAAGATAGGGGCCTTGTCCCTCTGTCGTCGTGCATTCCTATTCAAACCCTGCCTGGGTCACCAAGTGGGAAAACGGGCCCTCTGCCCGCGAGTTCCAAGAGCCCAGTTCTCTGTGGAAGGCCCAGACCATCCTTCTGAGAAGAGCCTTCAACTGCATCATCACAAGGTGCCGGCTGGATGTGACCCAGAGGTGGGTAGGAACCACCAGCTGGAAGGTCACTTCTCCAAGCTGGGGAAGGGGCTGTTGCACTTCAAAGATACCCTGACATCGTGTTGGGCATCGGGATGCTGGCCGGCCATTGTCTGTGGCACCCACCCACCAGGGAAGAGCAGCAGAGTCTGAAGACTATTGGTGAGAAGATTAGGGTCTCAGAATGGAGCATTGAAGACAGCAGGACATTTTGTATCTAGCTGGAGGAAGGGGAAGAGGTGGGTGTGGAGTCCTGGGTGAGCCTGGGGTTTGGAGTCAGAACTAGATCCAAGTCCCAGGCTGCTGCTCTCTGACATGAAACCGTGGACAAATTACTGAACCCTTTTGAATCTCAATGTTTCTTATCCGTAAAACACAAACAACGCCGCCTATCTCACAGGGCCAAATGAGATAAAAGGAGGAAAAATGAGATAATACATTGAAACTGTTCAGCACAGCGCTCCGTACGTGCCAAGTGAGGATGAGTCCGTGGGCTATCTGCCCCGCCCCTGCCTCTTTTGACCAGTCTGAGGCCACACGGACACTTCCCCGGGAGATTTTCCCATGGTCTAGCCTCTGGGCAAGGTTCTAGAAAGGGGCAAAGCGGGCTGGGGACCAGCAGTTAAGAGCAGGGCCCCCACCTTCAGAGAACCACTTTCAGGCTGGAGAAAGACACTAACCCATGAAATAGGGAGCAGAAGGGTATTGAATTGAGGTCCACAGAGTGCAACGCAGATCTGAGTGGGAGAAGTTCAAAGTGGCCAGGGCTAGCAGGGTGAGGCAGAGGAGGGTGACCTGCCACACTCACCCACTGACTCCACCCAGGAAGCTGAGTGGGCCAGAATGCAAGACGGCTTCTCAGCTCACGTCACTTTTGCATGGTAATTTTTTTTTTGAGAAGGAACTTGGTATATACAAATTCATGCATATGTATAGACCTTTTGAGGACAGGCATTGAATAGGTACGTAATGACAAGCCATGTTTCAAAATTATCCCTCCTGCCCACACCCCAAATGAGATTTGTCGATATTCTACTTGTAATTGTTCTGCCAACCCTTTCCTACTTCCCAGATGAAGAAGGAGGGGAGGGGCTTGACCTTGCCTTACCTCTTACTATGAAAGAATTAGATGGCAATAAAAAAAACCTTTTTATTATGAATAATTCCAAACAAAACAGACTAGCATAATGAATCCCTAGGACCCACCATCCAGCTCCAAGAGTTATCAAAACATCGCTGATCTCATTTCATCTACACCACTGCCCACGCCCCACCAACTAGTCCATAAAAGATGATGATGACCACAGATTTGGGTTTGCTCTTTTTTCAACAAAATTAACATGTTGTGGAATGCATGGAACTTAGCTGTAGAATTGACAGTTTACAGGACTCTCACGATGTAGAATATGCCATCCCCCCACCCCCCGCTGGAAATTTACCTTATGTCCATTTGCAGTCGATCCTAACCCCACCTTTCACAAAGCAACACTTTTCTGATTTTTTTTTTTGGCCTATGGAGTTTTACATAGTATCTTTTAACATTTTTATATTTATAATGTAATAGGATTGAGAGAATCCCTAGGACCCATGAGTTCACAAATCATGCCTCACTCCGTGGGCATGATGGAGCACATGTGAGGTTTTACATGGACGTTAGTGGGTTTCCATCATTCAACTCAACAGGTATTCGCTGGGCTTCCTACTGCACGCCAGGTATTACGGCAGGCCCTGGGGAGTCAGAGAACAACTCCAAAGAACCTCAGTTGTCATTCAGAAAATTATCACCCATATAATTGCTCACCATTCGGGGACGTAGCCTGTCTCGCTCAGGGTCTGTTTTCAATTGTGTCTGTGGTAACGTGGGAGCATCTGGGAAAAGTCCTTCCAGATAGTTCCTATCTTGTGAAGGCAACCACCAAACAGAGACACCCACCCTGGGTGGCAGGCGCACCCAGGCACAAGCTCTTATCAGAGAGACCTCAGCACAGTCAAGGGAGGGATGGGACCTCACGGCCCCCGAGTTCAGGTGAACGTGGAGGTTAGAAGCCCACACCTGGGTGCGTGCTTACCCTCTGGAAATAACAGGATGAAGAGGGGGGAAAGAGGAATTGGACCACTCTTGCAAATCGTGTGTGCAAGTGGGTCTTCAAAGGCACAGCTCTCGGTGCTGGAAAACAACTCAGAAATCCCCCAACAAGGATGAGAGGGTGCTCCCGGCCTTCACCACCACGAAGCTGTCCTGGACACGCTGAGGGAAACCCCAGCTCTGCCCCAGGATGATGCGGATGTAAGGAGAGCTCCTTCAGAGACCACTTTAATCCATTCCACCAGCTCCTTGTCATACCGTCCATTAATGCTCCTGCCACGAAATATGGGGCTCTCCCGAGCCAGCAGATTCCATCATTGTCCATTTGGGTGGAGTGAGACCTAGTTCCAAAGTGAACATTTCCCGAATGACATACCCTGGTGGTTCAGATGCACTTCATTATTTTCTATTAACAATGGAAATAAATTTTAATCTCTTGCTGGCTAGCGCCGGCCTCTCATGACAGCAAGGGAATTAACCTGAATTATTTCAGTGTCTGCAAAATTTATTACAAGATTTTAAATTACGTCCAAATGTATGTGCGTGCGTGTGTGTGTGTGTGTGTGTGTATAGATATGAGGCAAGTTCCAGTTTTTCATATTCTAAATATCTTAGGCTGAGAGGTACCTAGAAAAGCCTGCTATTAAAGTGAATTTGCAAAATGTAATGGTCTTAATCCACAAACTCCACCACACGAAACCAGGCCTGCTGGGTCGCTGCTGCTTCTCCACATGGGGACGCCCACTTAAACACTGATTTTACACACATCCCCTCGACTTCTGGAAGACTGGATAACATTAGGGAGGCGAAGATACATTTGGTTCAGTCGAAGCTTCGAGTTTAACTTCCTTCACCGTTTTCTGATGAACGATGACAACACTGATATTATTCTATTCGGAGAAGTTAAAATTTCTGGATGTTTTAAGACGAAAGGAAGTGGAATGTGCATTCCAACATCATCTCACTCCCAGGCCTTCCCCTTCCCCAAGCCAACTTCTTTCCCCTAGTGAGTATTTCCTGGGTCACGAAGGCTGACCCTTTCCATCTGGAATCAATCCGTCAACCCCTGACAACTTCCTGAAACACCTCACTCCATTTCCTGTTCTCTCCCCCTTCTCGCTTTCCCCCTGGTTTGCTTCACTCTTCAAAACTGCAGGCCACAGCAGCTTAATGTTAGAGGGTCAGGCACAGTTAGACTCCAAAACACTACACAAGGACACCTTTGACCTTCAAAAATCTTTACATCTTAGCTAAACAAATCAAGGTCAACATTTCTTACCATTACCTTGTTAACTATTTGTATGCATCTTTACCAACGGTCCTGGGATCATGTAGCCATCAATGCCACTTGTTCTTCTACGATCAAAAACTGATCTGTTTTAAAAGTAGCAAATTTAGTAGGGACAAAAGGTGTCATTTGAAGGTACCTGAAGCTAAAAATCGCCAGCATCGTAGCAAACATATGGAGAGTATTCCATCCCAAAGAACTTTCCTGCCTCATCAATGCCTCCTGTCACCTCACCCTGATACATCATCTCCTCTAAGCCTGTCACACTCTCCTGGTGCTGCCATTCTGCTGGCGTAGCCCTAAAGAATGCCAATTAGGAATACAGATGTCCATAATTTGTGAGGGATGGACCCCGGGTTTTGCTGCTAACACTAGTGACAAGTTTCATTTACTCCTCAGCCTTGATACATCTGTATTGTAGTTCCAAGCTCTCGTGGCAAGTCCCCTGGACGTGCATACCAGCTCCTTGTAGCTGTTGGGCCTCCTCAACAGAAACATTTCCATTCAACACAAAAGCTACAAGCAATTCATTCACAGTGACACCTTCAAGCCAAGTTTCCAGGAGGGCGGAGCTGGAATCAACCGAAAGAGCCTGCATCTTTTTAAGTGAAAGTGGTTTTTTGCTTTTTGCCATTTCTTATTTTGTTGGACTGTGATCTCTCATCCTGGGGAGAGGCCAGCTCAGTGACCACAGACCAAGTGGAGAGTGACGGTGGGAGGTTTCGTTTTGAGTCACCCAACTATCAGGCAGTGTTTTGCAGAAAGAGAAACACAAATAAAAAACTTGTCCCTCCCCTGGAAAAATACAAGAAAGTTTTAAGGAGAATCTATGAGCACGTTAGCAGTTGGCAAAAAAGTACTCACGAAAACTGATTGGCTTTCTCAAATTCTATTTTTCTTTTCGTTACCCAAACGTTCTCCCTCGTCTCTCTAATAATTTATACAAAGCAGGAGCTGAGTTGTAAAGAGCTCTCTCCTGTCCATAACCCTTAGGTGGACACATCCGTGAACCTGCCTATGCGGCTAATTTTCCAACTGAGGAGCAGTTTGCTTGGTATCAGAATGATCTCGGATGGGACGGATGGGACGGGGACTTCCACTCAACCGACTTTTCCCACCTTTGGGTTATTCTGATGTCTTGCTCTGAGTTGTCCTTGACTTGGGGAACACCACGCGGTGTGGTTGCTTTTATTTATCCTTCTCAAAGTTCGAAGTGTCTGATTTAGGGGAGTCCGAGGAATGGCCAGCTCAGGGCCTCCTCCA